TTTCTTTCTTTCTTTCTTTCTTTCTTTCTTTCTTTCTTTCTTTCTTTCTTTCTTCTTTCCTTCCTTCCTTCCTTCTCCTTCTCCTTCTCCTTCTCCTTCTCCTTCTCCTCCTTCTTCTTCTTCTTTTTTTGAATTTTTGAGACAGGGTTTTTCCGTAGCTTTTGGTTCCTGTCCTGGAACTAACTCTTGTAGACCAGGCTGGCCTCCAGTAAAATCATTTAAAGTGTGTGTGTGTGTGTGTGTGTGTGTGTGTGTGTGTGTGTGTCTACAGGAGCTCTGAGAATAGCTTTCAGGAGTTTGTTCTTATCTCCTGCATGTTTAAGACAGTGTCCCTTGCTTCTTCTCTTGGACTATGTATTCAAGGCTAGACCTCAAGCTTTCAAACAGCTCTGTCTCTGTCTCCTAGGAGTGCTGGGATTACAGTATGTCTGCCACCATACTGAACTTTTTACAAGATTCTGGGGTTCAAACTCAGCTTATTGGGATTATTTGGTTAGCCATCTCCCTTCCCCCAATCATAAATTTTAAATAGAAAACTTAAAATATGCCAGAAAGGTTAATATAAATGGCTGCAATTTGACCCTGTGTTTCTTGGAAGAAAGGGAACTGTGTTCAGATGTGTGTGTGTCTGTGTGTGTGCCAAGTGTGCAGGCGTCTATGGAGGGCAGAAGATCCGCTGTGAGCCATCGGACCTGAAAGAGAAGCAGGAGCTCTGTGCGGGATAGTTTTATGTCAACTTGACACAAACTAAAGTCATCTGAGAAGGGAGAACCTCAGTTGAGAAAATGCCTCCATAATATCTGGCTGCAGGCAAGCCTGTAGGGAATTTTCTTATAGTGATTGATGGGGGAGGGCCCAGCCTCACTGAGCTGGTGATCCTGAGTCTGTAAGAAAGCAGGCTGAGCAAGTCATAAGGAGCAAGCTGATAAGCAGCTCCCCTCCATGGCCTCTGCATCAGCTCCGGCCTCCAGCCTCCTGCCCTGTTAGACTTCCTGTCCTGACTTCTTTGATGATGAAAATTTATGTAGACGTGTAAGCTGACTAAGCTCTTTCCTCCCCAGCTTGCTTTCAGTCATGACTAAAACAAGCCCTTAACCACTGACCCATCTCTCCAGTATCAGAAACACAGTTTCTACTACTAAGCATACTAAAAAAATAAAATTCTATTATAAAACAAAGGAAAAGTACATCCTTTGTTTCAGAGAAAATAAGGTTTTGTCAGAAATAAATTTAAGAGTTGGCAGTTTTCTCTTTTTTTTTTTTTTGAGGAAGAATCTCTCTGCATTGTTCTTAATGTTCTGGAGTCCATGCTGGCCTTGAACACACAGAGATCTGCCTGCCTCTGCTGAAATTGAAATGAAAGGTTTAGGCCAGGTGGTGGTGGCGCACGCCTTTAATCCCAGCACCACTCAGGAGGCAGAGGCAGGCGGATCTCTGTGAGTTCGAGGCCAACCTGGTCAACAAGAGCTAGTTCCAGGACAGGAGGCTCCACAGCTACAGAGAAACCCTGTCTTGAAAAATCAAAAAAAAAAAAAAAAGAAAGAAAGAAACTGTGATTTTTTGGTGGGGGAGGGCTGGAAGAGGGAGGGGAGCAGAGAAAAATGTAAAGCTGAATAAAAATCAATTAAAAAAAAGAAATGAAAGGTTTGTACCACCATTCCCAGCATTAAAATGTCATTTTAATAGTAGTCACTGATAAAAGCCATGGACATAGAAGGAAAGAACTTGGTAAAAGACAATGTTAGTTTCATCTCTTAAAAGTGGTAAGAAGTGATGAGGTTTTTGTAATTCAGTTTTCAGTTAATTTTTATTTTATGTGTATGGGTGTTTTTACTGCATATGTGTGTGCCTGTGTGCCACATGCATGCTTGGTGCCCATGGAGGGCAGAAGATGGTGTCAGACCTCCTGGTACTAAAATTACAATTGGTTGTGAACTATGGTATGGCTGCTGAAAATTAAACCCGGGCCCCTGGGAAAAGCATCCAGCTGCTGGGTCAGGTCTGTTTTTCAGGTTGCTGTGTGCTGTGTAAGCTTCTTGGTTCGATTGCATCTTACCAGTCTTGATATAAGTGATGAAGTCCATCGTACCAGACATAGTTTTTACTGTTAACTTTATTTTGACTTCACTACAACTTTTTATGAGGATGGCAGAGTTGGGTTTTATGGTTTTTTATTTGTTTAGTTTTGTTTTCCTGGTGCTGTAGACGGAATTCAGGCCTTTGCTCACTAGCCAGAGCTACATAGTGAGACCCTGTCTTGGAAAAAAAATATGCAAAAGACTGGATACCAAGAGCTCACAGATAGGACCACTTACATCACAAAGAGAGTCCACAGGCCAAGAATGGAGCTTGGTGACAGAACACTAGTGAACAAAGGCCTGGAAAACAGACATAAGATTTATAATTTTTAAATTTTGGCCTATGCCCAAATTCCCAATTATTGTTTATAAATGTTTGTTTACATTTAAAGGGGGATATGCTGTAGAGATGAATATTTTTCATTGGTATGGATCTTGGCTTATTGATAAAAATTTAAGGCTGATTTTGTTGTTTGTGCAGCTCATTTAAAATGTAATGTATAATTAAGACATACAGGTTAATAGATAATCATCTATAATAGTCAAGCTTGTAGTCAGTTAGGTTTTCTAGATGTACAGAGATATGTTTCAGATAGATAGTTATTCTTCAAACCTTTCAAAGATTAACAGAATATGGCATTTAAAATGTTTAAAAACTTAGGACTTTTCATGACATGAGACACATCTGTTAGTACCAATCTACTCCAAGAAGAAGATGGGCATCAAAGAGGCTCCTTATGGAATTGGTTAGCCATTTGGGCAAAAAACTGCTCTTGCCTGGACTGCTTGATGGTATGCTGCAAAAACTGGACATGCAGGACCCACAGAAAAATGACTGCTAAGGTTGTCTAAAAGAGGCAAGACAGTCTTTCGGGGTTCCTGCTTCATGAGAGAACTGCCAGACATTTTCAGGACACAGAAGAAAGCAACTGATAAACTTTGCCAGTACAAAGCATGAGAGATCTTCAAATTTCCTGCTTCATGGAAAAGCCTGCCAGATACAATGGGCCTGTAGGCTGAAGATTGATGCTGCAATGAACTCTGGGTGACTGCCTAGGCAGTAGGGTGTCTGTCAATTCTAGAGTTTTGGAAGTTGCTTACAATGCACTTTCTGTTTACTTAGGTAATATTATATCCTTCTGGAGTCTTTGATGGAGTTAAAGAAAGACAGTTATAAACAATAAATTAGATATAAAACTTTAGACTCACAAAGATAGGATAGATAGAGCATTTTCCTTAATTTGTCAAATGTAAATGGACTAAATATTGTAACTATAATTCTTGTTGATACATGTTTTGTTGTATGTAATCTTGTAATGTTAAAGTTAAAAATTTTCTTTTCATTCAGACAGAAAGGGGGAAGTGATATGGGGGACTCTCCTCTGTATAGCACTGGTTAATGAAGAAGAGGTCTATAGCAGGGTATAATATAGCCAGGCAGGAAATCTGATATATAGAGAGAAAGTCGGCAGAGTCAGAGAGAAGCCACGTATCTGCTGAAGGAGACAGATGCCCGGGAACCTTACCGGCAAACCACAAGCCTTGTGGTAAAATGCAAAATAATAGAAATGGGTTAACTTAAGATATAAAAGCTAGCTAAAAAGACACCTAAGCTATTGGTATTCTGTGTGATTATTTCAGGTCTGGGTGGCCGGGATATTAAACAGATCTCAGCCTATAGGCCTCTAAGAAGCTGTCTTCCCGTTCCTAAAAACAGAAGCATTCCAGTTTATGCTCTAGTGCGTTTACAGAGGGAGCCTCTGCTTTGCCTTCCGTGTCAGCCTGGAAGACTCAATTCTAAGGGCTAGAGAGCTGTCTCCACTGGTGAAGCATGATGACACAACACTGAGAGGCTGGAAGGGAAGCTGTAACCCAGGGCTGCCGAGGTTGAGATGGGTGGGTGGGTCTGGGGAACTATCTGGCTCTCAGACTCACCTAATCTGAGAGACACTGTCTTAAAACTCAAGGTAGATGGCTCCTGAGGAATGGTATATAAGGCTGATCTCTGGCTTCCACACACACATAAAACATGTCCACATGCATTTATGTACACACGTGACTTTAAATTCTATAGCCTTGTAATAAAGTAAGATAAAGACCAGACACACACACACAAGTTGTATTACCAATATGATGAATGTTTTCCTTGATGACCTCACACTCTATCGGCCACCTTGGAGCCTGCAGCGGCCCTTGGCTAGAGAAAAATGAGAAGAGCTCTCGGGGTTCTCGAAGACGCAGGTTCACTTCATCTAGTTCATCATGAAGGAGCTGCCTGCTCCTAAGAAGTGGTGAACTCAGCATAAGTGAATCTGCCAAAAGGAAGAGGAAATAAATGAACAACTTTCTCTTCACCTCGAGAGCTTTACTGCTCTTCTACAGCAATCAGATAATTTTAAACTGTGTATGAAGACATTAGCAATCTGGGTGTGGTAGTGCACATCTTTAATCCCAGATCTGTGAGTTCAAGGACAGCCTGGTCTACACAGAGAGTTCCAGGCTAGCCAGGACTATATACTAAGATACTGTTGTACCACCACCCCTACCAACAAAAAGGTTAAAAAAAATAGACTATGACGACAGATAAAATTATAAATAAACTATTAAGTTAAAATTCTGCATAATCTAGATTTTTTAAAATCAAGTTAATGGGTTCAAGATCCATTAACAGTGGGCTACATAATACTTAATATGTCTTATTATTTTGTATTCATTCAGGTGATGAAAGAGGATTTTAATTCTCCTATCGGCACTATGGGGGAAAGCACAAAAAACTTCATTAACTAGAGAAAGAAGCACAGACCTAAATGCAATCTCCAGAACACAGGCAAAACTGTGGAGCATGGTGCCCGATGTTTGTGGACAACATTTCTGAGGGCGGCACCCAATATTGTCCTCTAGCTCCCCCCACCCCTTTAAAAAAAGACAGACAGTTAAGAAAGAAAAAAAAGAGAGGAAGAAAAGAAAGAAAAACACGATAAAAGACTTCCCTAGTGCTGCAAAGTTCCAGTAACTGGGGATTACCAATTACCAGTCGATACACTGCTAGCTATGCAAGGATGAGAGTGTGAATTCAGATATCTAGAACCCACGTAAGAAAGAGGCATGGAGATGCACATCTGTAATACCATCTTGGGGTAAGTCAGAGGGATGTAGGTCCCCAAAGCTCACCGACCAGACAGTGCAGCCAATCAGTGAGTTTCAGGTTCAGTCAAAATAAGGTTGAGAGGGACTGGAGAGATGGCTCAGAGGCTAAGAGCACCGACTGCTCTTCCAGAGGTCCTGAGTTCAATTCTCAGTCAGCACCCGTATGGTGGCTCAGAACCATCTGTAGTGAGATCTGATGCCCTCTTCTGTCATGCTGGTAAACGTGCAGACAGAACACTATACATAATAAATACATCTTAAAAACAAAACAAAGCAAAAAACTTTAGTAGCCAGGTAGAGGCGGCCACACCTTTAATCCCAGCACTTGGGAGGCGGAGGCTGGTGGATCTCTGTGAGTTTGAGGTCAGCCTGGTCTACAGAGCTAGTTCCAGGACAGCTTCTCTGTGCCAAGGGTGCATAGAGAAACCTTATCAAGAAAGAAAGAAAGGAAGAAAGAAAGAGAGAGAGAGAAAGAAAGAAAGAGAGAAAGAAAGAAAACCGTAGTGAAACAACTGACAAACTGAATTTCAGGTCCATGCTGTACTCATCTGAAGTTCGATACCTCTGCTCACAGGGCCTATCTGAGTGTGCCCCGTTGAAGACAAACAGGTGGGCCCTAGAAAGAAGGAGGTACCATTTGTTTATTTTTTTGCCCACTGTCTCCCGTCTCCTCTTACTTTTCATCTCCACACTGGGCCCCTGAATCTCTATATAAACCTTTACCCAATAATTAATAGATGAGATAATAAACATTTGAAAAGATGGCAACATGAAAATAAAAAAAGCCAGAGGTTGGAGGGATGACTTGGGAGTAAGAACGCTTACTGCTCTTGTATGGACTGGGGTTCAGCCTCTAGCACTTCAGTTGAGTTTTCAGTAACTCCAGCGCTGGTGTCAAAGGCACACATGTGTACACACACACACAATATACACATATACATAACTTAAAAATAATAAAAATAAAATCTTCTGTTTGTTTTTTGAGACAGGGTTTTTCTGTGTAGCTCTGCTGTTCTAGAACTTGTTCTGTAGACCAGGCTGACCATTTTAACTCACAGAGATCCACCTGCCTCTGCCTCCAGAGGGCTGGATTAAAGGCGCACACCACCACTGCCTGGCAAAATTAAAATCTTTTTAAGAAGATTTCTGTTGGGTGTAGTGGGAAATGCCTTAAGTTCCAGCATTTGGGAGGCAGAGGAAGGCAAGTTTCTGTGAGTTTGAGGCCAGACATCCATAGTGAGACATTATCTTAAAAGTATAATACATATATAATAGCACACACACATAATCCTGTAATGTACCCAGGAGACAGAAGTAGGAGGATCAGGGAATTCTAAACCAGCCGAGGCTACATAGCAGGACCGTGTCTCAAAAAGTCAAAAACTGGAGATATTGCAGTTGCCTGCCATGCAGAAGACCCCGAGTTTGATCCCTAACATGTGTGTATGTGTGTGTTTGTATGGAATTTTTAAAGATATATATAAAGATGATCATTACATCATTGTGTTCAAATCATGGGAAAGGCAAAAGTTACCAAGGCAATCATCAAAAAGGAAGGTAAAATAACTATGGCACATTAATGAGAAGTAATACTAATGTATCTTTAAAAAGAGTGATGTAGCTGGTTGTGGTGGCACAAGCTGGTAGGATTTGCTGAAGGAGGCAGAGGCAGGAGGATCATGAGTTCGAGGCCAGCCTGTGCTTTAAGAAAAAAAAAAGAGTGAAGTAGAAGTGGGGACTCAAACTCACAGAAACTTGCCTTCTCTGCCTCCCAAATGCTGGACTTAAGGCATTCCCCACTACACCCAACAGAAATCTTTTTAAAAAGATCTTATTTTCTGCCAGGTGGTGGTGGTGCACACCTTTAATCCTAGCACTTTGGAGGCAGAGGCAGGCAGATTTCTGTGAGTTTCAGAGGTACACACCTGTGATTCTAGAAACAAATTTAAACTTTTGTTCTAAAAATGTTTAGCATTATATTCTATGTTTTTGAATTTGTTATGGTCAAAATTTTTAAATAAAAAAGATATAGCTATATTTGTATGTTAAAAAAGGACATTGCTATGCTCAAAATAGATTTGGAGAAGGTAACTGGAACAAGAGAAGAAATTGGGAGGTCAATGAAAAAGTCAATGATGGTGGTTTGAACTGGGTGTGGTCTCTTAATGTTTGGGGTATTGAGAAGGTATTACTTTGTTTGTTCTTTGTATCTTGGTAAAGAGGCCTTTTGTCTTCCCCTTCCTTTCTAGATTGAGGTATATAAAGGCTATGAGAAATAAATACGAGGCAAATCTCAGTATTTAAGGAATGCCCTCCCAACTGTTGTCTTTCTCTTTCTTAATCTTTAGCTTTCCCTCCAAGCATGGATGGGTAGGCTGGGTGGGACCTGGTAGTTGTCACCAAGATGCGGGATACAGCAAAATATAAAATACATGAAATAATACCCCTTTCAAAAAAACAAAACAAAACAAATAAACCAAAAAGCAAAAGGCTGTTTGCTTGACTTCTCCTGCATTTGGTCATGTTCTCTTAGGTTCCTAGAGTTTCCAAGGCAGTAAGGTTTCTGGGTGGGGGTTGGTAGGGTGCAAGGGTTACTCACATAGAAACGTCTCTTTTTCCAAGGTGTCTGAGATCAAATTGTCTCTTTCTCCAAAAGAGCCATTCAACATGTACCGAGGACTAGTCTTCCAAACACGCTGATGAGCAGCAGAATTTGGTAGATTGCCTTTCTGGGCTAAGAGTAAGTGGTTTAGTTCAAGTTGTTTGTAGAATGGTTCAGTATCTCTAGGGATGGGGTCAGTATAGAAACCCAATCACTCAAATCACAACTTTATCACCACTGTTCATCACAGGCTTTTATAATAATATCCCATTCTTAAAAGATCTCTCACATTGCAATTTATGCAAAGTGAGAATAATTATTCTCATTTGGCAAGAGAGGAAAGAGAATAGAGATTAACACCATGGTATAGTGTTGGTTTTAGGATAGTGTTCAGAAGGCAGAAAAGATCAGTGGCTCTAAGAACTGCTAAGAGAGCCAAAGCCAAGTGAAAGCAGGTACCAGAGTGGGAGCAAAGTATTGTACTGTAGGCAGAAGTTTCTGTCTCACCAGCAGCTCCCAAATAAACACGCTGGGGCTTATATTAATTATAAATGCTCAGCCATAGCTCAGGCTTACTACTAACCGACTTTTAACATTTGTTATCTATGTTTTGTCACGTGACTTGGTACACTTTCATCTTGCTTCTCTCTGTTTCTGCTGGTGACTCTAAAGTCTGCCCTTTGTCCCCCCAGCATTCTCAGTTTGGCTCTCCTGCCTAATCTTAACCTGTTTAGCTATTGGCAAGCCAGCTTCTTTATTAAACCAATCACAGAGACATATATTCACACAGTATAAATATTTGTAAATTTTCCACATTGAACCATAAGAATTTAAAAAAAAATAGGTCTTACTATAGAGCCCTGACTGTCCTGGAACTCACTATGTAGACCAGGCTGGCCTCAAACTCATAGAGATCTGCTTGCCTCTGCTTCCCAAGTGCCAAGATTAAGACATTCACCATTCACATTCACATTCACATTCAGCTTCAAAAGCCTTTCTGTCCTAAGGACACTGAATGAATCTGACAAACTGAAGTTCTCTTTTCAATAAATTAGTCCTAAAGTAGAAATTGTTAATAATAATGTTGAACAAGGTTATCAGAATTATAATCACTATTAAGCTGGTCATGGTAGATAGAAAAAGATAGTAGGACTGTAAGCTCAAAGTCAACTAGACTACATGGCAAGACTTTGTCTCAAAACATCTAGAGTTGTAGGCCTAGTTCAGTAGTAGAACACCTGCCTAATAAGTGCAAGGCCCCAGGCTTGCACTCCAGAACTGCAAAATGAACAAGAAAATAAAGCTATATATTGAGGTAGAGACCAGCCTGGGTTACAAATGACCCTGTCCCAAAAGACCAAAAAATATAAATAAACAAAAATGAAAACTCACGGGACATGGTGGTAAACGCCTTTAGCTCCAGCAGTCAGGAGGCAGCAATTGGATTGAGTTCAAGGCTGTTGAGACCAGTTCAGAACTGGTCTACAAAGTGAGTTCCAGGACAGTCAGTGCTGTTGCACAGAGAAACCCCGTCTCAAAAAACCAAAACCAAAACAAAATGTCACATTAGAAAATTAATTTCTGGGGTGGGAGGTGGTGGCGCATGCCTTTATTCACAGTACTCGGGAGGCAGAGGCAGGCAGATCTCAGTGAGTTCAAGGCCAGCCTGGTCTACAAGAGCTAGTTCCAGGATAGGCTCTAAAGCTACAGAGAAATCCTGTCTCAAAAAACAAAAACAAAAACAAAACAACAACAACAAAAAAAAAGAAAATTAATTTCTGGCTGGCAAGATGGCTCAGAGAGGAAAGGTTCTGGCTTCAAGGCCTGAGAACCTGAGTTGAATCCCTGGGGGCAGTGTTGGAAGGAGAGAACCAACTCCTGAAACTTGCTCTCTGACCTCCACATGGGAACAGTGGTATGTGTAAACAAAAGATGTGTAATAAAATTGAATTTCCTTGTCTTTTTGTAGCTGAGGATGATCTGAATTTCTGACTCTCCTGACTCAGTTTCTAGCACTGGGTTTAAATGCAAGGGCTTCCACCCCAATATATATAATTTAAAAGACAGCATTTGGAAGTAGTTCTGAGCACTTACTGCTCTTTCAGAGGCCCACATGGCGCTTTACAACCATTTGCTACTCAAATTCTGGCCCCTAAAGGCACCAGACATGCAGAGTAAGCATACACACATGCAGGGAAACACACTGTGCAGGATAGTTTTATGTCAGCTTGATGGAAGCTAAAGTCATCAGAAAGGAGGGAACCTCAATTAAGAAAACACCTCTATAAAATCAGGATGCAAGGAAGTCTGTAAGGCATTTTCTCAGTTAATGACTGATGACAGAGGCCCAGCCCATTGTGAATGGTCTCATTACTGGACTGGTGTTCTAGGTGATTTTTGGAATTTACTCTGTAGATCAGACTGGCCTTGAACTCAGGCTGGCCTGCCTTTGCCTCGTAAGTCCTATGATTAAAAGTGTGTATCGCTAGACTCAACTGGTCTTGGGTTCTGTAAGAAAACAGGCTGAGCAAGCCATAGGGAGCAAGTCAATAGGCAGCTCCCCTCAAAGGCCTCTACCTCAGTTCCTGCCTCCAGGTTCCTATCCTGACTTCCTTCAATAATGGACCACAGTGTAGAAGTGTAAGCCAAACAAATCCTCTCCTCCCCAACTTGTTCTTTGGTCATTGTGTTTCACTGCAGCAAAAGAAACCCTAAGACATACACACACAAAATAAAAATAAATCTTTTTAAGAGGCATTTAACTTGTATGGTGGTTTGAATGAGGATAGTTTCCATAGGTTCATGTGTTTGGAACTGCTTGGGAAGGATTAGGAGGTATGGCCTTGATGGAAAAGATGTGTCACTGGGGATAACAGTTAAGACATGTGCAATTCCCAGTATATTTTTTTCTCCACGAAATGTGAGTTCTCAGCTCTGGAACCACAAGCCTGATTAAATGATTTATTTTATAAGTTGCCTTGTTCATAGTGTTTTAATCACAGCTATAGAAAAGTACCTAATACGATTTAGGGGCAAAGGTAGGAAGACTGTATGTTTGAGGCTGGCCCAGATGAACTGTGCAGTTCTAGGATGCAACCCTATCTTAAAAAAGAGACATTTGCTCTCTCTGCACACTGACTTCTCAGGCCTGTGCACACCCCCCTCTAATAAATTTCTAAGCTGGTGGGGTGGGGGAAGAGAAACATTTATAGTAATACAAAAATGGAAATACTGTATAAAATCTTTAAATACACCCTGGGCATGGTGGTACTTGTTTGTAATCCCAGTGCTTTAGAGGTAGAGGCAAGAGGATTTCAGCTTTGTCTACCTCGAAAATTATAGGCCAGCCAGGGTACACAGCAGGATATTGTACAACAATAACAAAATGGGCTAAAGAGATGGCCCAGAAGTTTTAACAGTGCTTACCGATCTTTAAGAGAACCCAAGTTGGTTTCCATCACCTACACAGTAGTTCACAAGCATCCATAACTCTAGTTCCAGGGGCCCAACCTCCTCAGGTACTCCCTACACACACATACAGTGCACATACATACATGCAGGCAAAAAACACCCATATATCTCGCAGTGGTGGTGCACAACTTTACTCCCAGCACTCAGGAGGCAGAGGCAGATGGATCTCTGAGTTCAAGGCCAGTCTGGTCTACAGAGTGAGTTCCAGGACAGTCATGGCTACACAGAGAAACCCTGTTTGAAATAAAACAAGAACCTCACCACCAACAACAAAAAAAAAAACCAAACCATTTTCCTAATAAACTCCAACTCTGCTTTACAAACAGAAAGATCATTATGGGGGACTGAGTAATCTGGTATATACAGACTGTCTCAAAAAAATCAACAAGCAAATAAATACATGCATAAATAGAAGGTTCCGAGGTCCTGGGAAGTGAGTGTAGCCCCTGGATAATGCTAGACAAGCGTTTTACCACTGTACACCTCACCTCCTGTCCCAAATGATTTTTTAATGTCACAAACTAATTTTAAAATTTACATCCAGAGGACTTGAGATGTAGCTTAGCAGGGTACTTGCATAGCACACTATATTGAACAAAGGTCCAATCTGTAGAACCAAAAGACAAAAAGAAGAGAGGGAAGCAAAGGCTCCAGAAAAGGCTAGATGCTTTTGAAGAACAAGGTGAAAGGAAATGACTCTCCAGATAGCAAGACTATAAACAAACTGGGCATAGTGGTGTCAGAGGCCTGTACTACACAGTGAGACTCACCTATAAAAGAAGTATTTGAATGTCATACAATTCAGAGATGGTGGTTATTAGTGCACCAGTAGAAAACAGGCCAATAAATTGAAAAGACTAGAGGAAACATTTGCACTTTTATATGTAGCAAGGCTGTTCCTAGACAGAGGGACACAGCAGTTCAATAGGGGTGGGAGGTACTTTTCAACTAATCAACCAGAAAAAGGACTCCAGTCTTAACCAAACACAGTTCTTTCAGATAATGCCACAGGTCAGCTTGGTGATGTCGGGGAAGAACCAAGTGTTATTACCTTTAAAGTATCCATAATACTGGAGATGATGGTGCATAAAATCCTCGTAGGGATCAGGAAGAGTCTGAAAGAAAAGGCATTCTCAAGCAGAACATGTCATTGAGATGATACTGAATTCTTAGCAACAAGTGTCAAACAAGCTTCACAGGATACGGTAACAAAACAATCCATGCAAATATCGAGTTATTCTGTCTGTAACAGATCTGGGGTACTAGCGGGTATGGAACACACTAGGAATTCCAGCACCAGGGAAAACAGAGGTAGGAGGAGCAAGTTCAAGGCTAGGCTGGGCAACACAGTGAGTTCCATGCCAACCTGGGCTACACAGCAAGGTCACATTACCTACCTGCCTCCCCAAAAGTCAAACACAAAACAATCCTCTAGTTGGACCAGCATGCCACCACAACGAACCTTTTGGTCTAGGATTAAGTTTCTGTGAAGTTTTGGAAAGGGGAGTGTACCGACCTCCTGCTTCAACTCTGCTTCCAGCGCTGGAAACATGTTACTGCCACATAGAAAAACGTAGGCGAATCAGTAGCACCACTGCCGGCTGCAACCTCTGCCTAATTTCCAAAAGGAGAGCTGATTACACCAAAGTCTCAAATCACAGCAGAAAGGTGAAAAGAAACCCATCCAAACACACAGCACCACCAAAGAACACCAAAGAGGATGGTCCTGCCCCCTCACACCCACAGCCTTTCGATTTCAGGGCAATCCTGCACGCACCTGTGCAGTCAGGGCGCACTGCGAGTCCCCGCACCTCGTCCTCTAGACTTACAGGGACCCTCGCTGGCCCCATGCTGTGCTTACACTGAGAAGAGATGCTCGACACAGGGAATCGGTTTGGAGGCACAAGCAGTTGAAAAGGAAAGGTCAGGGGGTCGAAAGCGACGGTCCGGAGATGTGGACCGCTGTGGGGAAAGCCCACGGCGATGCAGAAATTCCCACCAGAGCTGGCAGGCGACCCCGCGCGCCCAGCTCCCACACCCGGCCAGGCCACTGCCACTCCGGCCTCAAGGGCCTGGAGAGGGCTGGCCCAACGCTCCTCAGTACCCTGCCCTCCTCACCCCACCCCCACCCTTCCCGCCCTCTACTTCCTTCATCCCCTAACCTGCTCACCCCCTGCCCTCACCTCCTATTTCTTCACCCGCCCCCGTCCAGGCCCTTCTCACCCCCTTCCCGTTTGGGATACACTAACTGGCTCCTTCGCAGGCCCAGCTCATCAGTTCACCTGCTGGAGCTTTCCGCGCGGACCCTGGCAGCCTAGCAACCCAGAGCCAGAAGCGGAAGGAGGGCAGGACCCCGCCCTCATCCTGCGATGTCAGGCAATTTGTTTCAACTTTACAGACCCAGGCTGGGAACTGGTGAGTACAGTGCCAGGAGAGTTCACCCTATTTTCTAACTTCTGTAGTTTTAGTAATTTCCTTTGTTTAAGGGGGAGCTGTAGCAACCAAACAAGCTTTATTTTAACAGGGAAAGCAGAGGTCAGTCCTAGGAATCAGGCTCATTCTAATTTACATCATTCCTTCTCCCTTTGACAAACTTAAAATATCTTCCTTTCCACTTTTTCTTGATTTGGTTTAAAATACAAATTATTCCTTAAAAACTATTTCTCTCCCTCTGTGTGTATGTGAGCTGTCTGAAGTAGGAACTGGATGCTGGAAACGGAGACTGAGTTCTCGAGCTACCTCCCCTCTTTCATAGAATTGTTTCCGTGTACAGAATTTGTGTGGACATGTGTAAGGCAAAGGACAACTCTGTGGAGTGCTTTTCTTCCACCTTCGTATGGGTTCCAGGGACTAGTAGGTGTCAGCCAGTCAAACCCAAACCTTTTAGGTTATCTAATCAGCCCTTATTCTTTAAAAAATTTTCAAAAAAAATTTTTTTGATTTTCATGTTGTGTATGTGCACGTGACTGCAGGAACCTACTGTCAGAGATCTCCTAGAGCTGAAGTTACAGTTTGGATGTGGGTGCCGGAGTGCTCTTAAGTGCGAGCCACCTCTCCTGCTCCACTGTTACTTTTTGAGGCTTGTTCAAGGATTTGTGTTAAAGATGTCCTATTTTAAGTTTGAACCTTCTCTTGGCTGGAGGGCGCAGCACTGGTTTCTCTTATGAGTTCAGTTTTCAGCACTCACACCGGTGGCTCACAACCATCTGTAATAGTACCCCTATAGGATTCATGCCCTCTTTTGGTGTGCAGATATGCACACACAAAAAAATCTATATACATAAAATAAGCAGACAGCAGCAACAAAAAGTGAATGGCCTCATAAAAGCGGAGGCCAGAATCTCGGGTCAGCTACTCAGACAGATTTGCAGGCTAGAATGTCATCTCAACTAGTGATGATACAGGCCAGCTACTGAACACTTTTACTCTTTATTCTCTACCTTCTAACCTTCTAGTTAAAATGAAAAAAAAAATCCTGTAAAGAAAAACAAAACAAAACAACCTCCCCCAAAAAAACCAACCAAACAACAACAACAAAAAAAAACAAGACCAAAAAACAAACTAGTTAGAAACTAAGGTGGCAAAACCAAAACCTGGTCCATCAGGTTCCTTATGTTCTCAACAGCAGGGTAGTAAGGAGGCTGGCCTCTCCAGCAACAGTTACACGCCTGGAAAACTGTTAATTAGTTCAGACAAAAACTTTAACAGCTAGTCGATAACCTTTATTTATAGAAATTTAACTATGCAAATTACAAAACAATTTTAGATACAAAATGGGCATCTCAACATTAGCACATGATAAATAAAATCTAATACACTATAATACAAAGTAAAAAAATTTTAACTGCATAAGAATACTAGAATAAAATCCCAACTATTGTCTTTGGTTAACTATTGATTATAATCTTAAGTATCTATTATTTTCCATAATCAGCTTTGTATTACCTATATAAAAAAAAGGTACAAAGCACCTTTCTCCCCCACAAAACGTTAGCCATATTACATTGTTCCCAGGACTCAGGTAGGTCAAATATTAGTTAAGAATGGAATGTAAGCCCTATAAGTGTAAATCACACATGGCACCATCTTGTTTAAAACCCGTCTCCGTATATCTCCAAGATGCTACTTTTTCCTGATGTTCAAATGTCAGTGTATGCTCTGTACCATGTTTGATCAGAACAATTAAGAATGGACACACACAAAGTCCTGGTATTATAACTGCAGGGTAACATGCTTAGAAGAGCAAAAGGATAACCAATCACAAGTATAAAAAGAGCTTTATTAGTGCATATATACAAATTTACAGTGTCAGAAACTGGAGAAATACAAACAGCTTTAAGACACAATTTGCTTTTTCTTCAGTTTAAAGTGACCTTTCTTGATTGTGATACAACAGAAAGCACACCAAGAGTGAACTGCTTCTTAAACACTGAAATCTTACGGAGAGGGGAATTTCTCAAAATCAAGGATCTGAACACCTGTTGCTGCTACTCCTGCTTGCCTGTAAAATGAATGCTGTAGGGTTTCTGAGAAAATGTGGCCATCAGCACGGATCTCAATACTTCAGGGGTAGCAGACTCGAGGAAGAGGTCAAAGATTCTGATGGTCAAGCAAGATAGGATACAGAGCTGCCTTCTTAATTGCACTTGTTCTGGAGTAGAAGGTAAGGAGAGTATTACACTAGGAACTGAACAAGCCTCTAGGGGGCAGAAAAACCATTTCCTTTTGCCAGTGAGTCCTATACTGAGGTTTCATATGCCCATGACTCCCATGTTCCTCAAGACTTGACTCATATCTAACATGCTAAGCTTGCCAGTGTGAAAAGAGACAGTTAGGGCAAAGTAATTCCAAACATCTCACCTTCAGCAAACAGAAAACTACATCTCCTAAACGGACAACTTAATATGCATGGGTTTTGTCCAGGATGTTCTTTCTCATAACATTTACAGTTCATCTGACAACAGTTTAGAACTGGTTAAGACTTTAAACATAAAACAAAAAAATTTTTTTAAAATTAAAACTATGTGTTGGGAGCCATTTTCCTTCTCTTCAGTCTTGCTCGCCAATCCTCAGGAAGGGCTTCAAAATTCGCATTTCTTTCTGCCATGCCACTGTGAAAACAAAATGCATGTTACTACTTTACTGGAAAGAGAAGAGAATCTTACTTTTATTTTTTTTTTTTTTAGAACTAAATACTGAAACTGAAAATTGGATCTCATGTCCATTCAGGAAAATGTTTCAAGTTTCTCAGCAAAGGAGCAGTTTATTCTTCATGAAAGACTATAATGTTAAGAATAAGACTACCCCCAAGATCAGCCTTCCCATCAGGAATTGCACTCCATTTACCTGACCAGCTGCTGCTGTTTCCACTCCTCAATTCGCTTCTGTGCAGTGGATTCCCGGTCCTCTTCACTGGAACTTGAATTATCTTCCTCATCTAACTCCCGCTGGATACTCTGCCATTTCTTTACCAAAGACGGCATTTTGGTTTTACTTTTCTTTGCCTAAAACAAAGTTATAGATCAGAAAAATGCAAAACATAGACAAGGAAATAGGTCCTTTATACTAACAATCAAGATCTTTCCTTGAAACCAAGGAATAAATGTGATATTGGATGCAACCAGAAACCCCAAGGCAGAAAGAATGTTAAGTGGTGTGTGCAGATAATGTTGGAACGCTGACTTCTGGCATGGCATAGTTGATGCTCTATCGAACTCACAGCAGCTGGATTGCCTATACAAGATTGGGCCTATTAACAGCTTGTCATGAAGAGAGCAAGGGCTTATAGGACCCCACCCTTCTCCGAGGATTTACACACACAATTAATGGTTGATAGAGGAGGGAGAGACTTTTTGGTGGTGAAGGCACTGTTAAAGTGCCCAAGTCCCTATAAACTATAAAATTCGCTGGGTCATTATAAAAAGAAGGCAGGTATGGTGGCAAAAGCCTTTAACCCCAGAATTCAAGAGGCAGAAGTAGGTGGATCTCTTGATTTTGAGGCTAATCTAGTTGGGATAAGTGAGATTCAGTAAGTTCAGGGAAACTCAGAGAAACCCTGTCTTGGAAACAAAAAAGATATGCAAGTAAAACATAGGCACGGGGAATAAACAAACAAAAAATGTAGACAAGTTGTGAGGAGGAAGTGAGCCAGTGGAAGAAGGAATACAAAAAACTGGTAATGGGGATATGTGAATCTGTTTGAAACATCATGTATCAATACATGTGTAAAATTTCTTAATAGGGGCTGAAGAGGTGGCTCAGTAGTTAAGACCATTTGTTGTTCTTTGGAGAACTGGATTCGGTTCCTACCACTCATATCAGGGACTCATAACCACCTGCAAGTACAGTTCCAGGGACCCTGACGCTCTCTAGTCTCTGCAGGTACCTGTGTATACAGAGGCGTGCGTACACACACACACACACACACACACACACACACACACACCCCATTAATAGAAAGAAACAGAGAAATCATTTTTAAAGTGCTTAAAAATGATTGATTGGGAAGGGAATGGAGGGACAACTCCCCAGTTTACAGCTCTTCCAAAGGATCTGGGTTTGAGTCCAAGCACCCACAAAGACTTACAACTCCCTGTAAAGTCAGTTGTGGCCTT